TAAGTAATACTAGTTTTACACTTCCATTATAGTTAGTGCATTCACTAAGCTTAGGCACATGGGACATTTAGGGTTAAGTGAGGGTTCAAATTAAGGTTAGGTAAGTGATTTTTAACCTCTCTCACACTCTATTCTTACCCTAACCCTTGGGGTAAGGGTTTAAATAAAGTGTGAGAAATCACAATTTAGTGATATTCCCCTAATGTGAAATATCACAAAATATGAACATGTCCCTAATCCTAACCCTAATTTAAACCCTAACATTAACCCTAAATGTCCCATGTGCCTAAGCTTAGTGAATGCACTAACTATAGTGTAAAACTAGTTTTACTTACCTTCCAGGACCTTGCTGTGTTATTTACCTAACAGGACCTCACTCTATTACTTACCTTGCAGGACCTGGCCGTGTTACTTACATTCCAGGACCTGGCTGTGTTACTTACCTTCCAGGGCCTGGCTGTCTTACTTACCTTCCAGGACCTGGCTGTGTCAGTTACTTTCCAGGACCTGGCTGTGTTACCTTCCAGGACCTGGCTGTGTTAGTTACCTTCCAGGACCTGGCTGTGTTGCTGTGTTAGTTACTTTCCAGGACCTGGCTGTGTTATTTACCTTCCAGGACCTTGCTGTGTTATTTACCTTCCAGGGCCTGGGTGTGTTACTTACCTTCCAGGGCCTGGCTGTGTTACTTACCTTTCAGGACCTGGCTGTGTTACTTACCTTCCAGGACCTGGCTGTGTCAGTTACTTTCAAGGACCTGGCTGTGTTACCTTCCAGGACCTGGCTGTGTTAGTTACCTTCCAGGACCTGGCTGTGTTGCTGTGTTAGTTAGTTTCCAGGACCTGGCTGTGTTATTTACCTTCCAGGGCCTGGCTGTGTTACTTACCTTTCAGGACCTGGCTGTGTTACTTACCTTCCAGAACCTTGCTATGTTACTTACCTTCCAGGACCTTGTTGTGTTACTTACCTTCCAGGACCTGGCTGTGTTACTTACCTTCCAGGGCCTGGCTGCGTTACTTACTTTCCAGGAATCCCATGGAGCCCATTCGCATGAAACTGACTGTGTAAAGACTTTAGCTCCATGGTGATTAAACTGTATTCGTGTGGTCTGAGCGCCATTCGCTTAATAATGTGCGCTCAGACCTGAGCTATCTGGGGATATGTTAAATGTATATTTTTAATGTTATGTGTCTCACATAGTGTATTTTAATAGTAATTCGTGTGTTAGTATCCCCACGTGCATAATGGCGATTTGCCTTTGTCTTGGGAGATAATTGAATTACTTCTCAATTATCTCGAAGGCAGAGGGGAGGAAGCCAGGATGCATTGTGGGAATATAATGTGACTGTGTGTCCTAATTGTCTACTTGTCTGTCCTTTGTCACAGTCTCCCATTTGGTCGCCTAGGGGAGTGTCCACCAGGTGGGAGACCTGCATAAATACTGGGCAGGTAGCACTCATTAAACAGACCACTGCTTGACCCCCAACACGGAGCCTTGTCTCGTCTTTGGGGGGATTTACTGAATGCTGATAGAGACTGATTGCTAGGAGTGTAAGCCGCTTGGGTGCTTTTCCTATTCATCTGCTAGCAGCGATTCGTATGGTTCCTGTTCGTGTGTTTGGAGTGCTATATTAGATGCCATTCGGGAGTTTGGAGCTTTCACTTATTGGCGGTTTCTGTGTTTGGTGTTCTACAATAGCTGTGTCTGCATCTCTGGAAAGGGGGATGATTGCCTAAACGTTTTTTACCCCTTGTGTGCAAAACGGTCCATTACACTTACCTTCCAGGGCCTGGCTGTGTTAGTTACCTTTCAGGACCTGGCTGTGTCGCTGTGTTATTTATCTTCCAGGGCCTGGATATGTTACTTACCTTCCAGGACCTGGCTGTGTTACTTACCTTCCAGGACCTGGCTGCGTCACTTACCTTCCAGGACCTGCCGCTGTGTTACTTACCTTCCAGGGCCTGGCTGTGTTAGTTACCTTTCAGGACCTGGCTGTGTTACTTACCTTCCAGGACCTGGCTGTGTTGCTGTGTTATTTACCTTCCAGGGCCTGGCTGTGTTACTTACCTTCCAGGACCTGGCTGTGTTACTTACCTGCTAGGACCCGGCTGTGTTATTTACCTTCCAGGGTCTGGCTGTGTTACTTACCTTCCAGGACCTGGCTGTGTCGCTGTGTTACTTAACTTCCAGGACCTGGCTGTGTTATTTACCTTCCAGGACCCGGCTGCGTTACTTACCTTCCAGGACCCGGCTGCGTTACTTACCTTCCAGGACCCGGCTGTCTTACTTACCTTCCAGGACCTGGCTGTCTTACTTACCTTCCAGGACCTGGCTGTGTTACTGACCTTCCAGGACCCGGCTGTGTTACTGACCTTCCAGGAACTGGCTGTGTTACTGACCTTCCAGGACCCGGCTGTGTTACTTACCTTCCAGGACCTGGCCGTGTTACTTACCTTCCAGGACCTGCCGCTGTGTTACTTACCTTCCAGGGCCTGGCTGTGTTAGTTACCTTTCAGGACCTGGCTGTGTTACTTACCTTCCAGGACCTGGATGTGTCGCTGTGTTATTTACTTTCCAGGGCCTGGCTATGTTACTTACCTTCCAGGACCTGGTTGTGTTACTTACCTTCCAGGACCCGGCTGTGTTACTTACCATCCAGGACCTGGCTGTGTCGCTGTGTTACTTACCTTCCAGGACCCGGCTGTGTTACTTACTGTGGCAAAACCAACCTTGCCACTGTACACTGGAGAAGCCTGGTTGCTTGCCTGCTGCCTTTGGACTATGGCCCCATGTTAAAAAGACATATTTTTTCCCTGCAGAAAAGACTTATTCGTGCTTTTCTGCCGGGTGTTCGGTAGTTTCAATCTACCGAACAACCGCACGAATGAATAGACCACTTGGGAGCTGGAGTGTGCCGGCAATTAACCTCCCTGAAGCTGCGGTTAACCGCAGCTTAATTGACGAATGCTGGGTGGCCGCCATTCGTTTCACGAACACGAGGTCGCGGCCATTTTAAACATGCGAATGCACAGCGGTGTTCGACGCTTAATTCATGGAACTGAAATCGGACACAGTTTTGCGCGAACACTGCTGAAGCCGCCGACCTCCCTTCTTGTTCGGTGAAAGTGCACAAACGGCCCGGTGTTCGGTAGTTTTGAGTGTGTTGTGCCCCAGATAGGAATCCCATGGAGTCCATTCGCATGAAACTGACTGTGTAAAGACTTTGGCTCCATGGCGATTAAACTGTATTCGTGTGGTCTGAGCGCCATTCGCATAATAATGTGCTCTCAGACCTGAGCTATCTGGGGATATGTAGAACATATATGTTTTATGTACTGAATGTAACTGTAGGTAATTTTATGTCTTTTACTGTTTGTTTTCTGCCATGTGGTTAATGGAGTTTTGCCTCTGTCTTTGGAGATAATTGAATTACTTCCAATTATCTCCAGGGCAGAGAGGAGGGATTGTGATGCATTGTGGGATGGTTGAAATGTGTAAGTCTGTGATTGGTCCTTTTACCCTTTGTGTCCCAGTATCCCATTTGTTCCCCTAGGGGAGTGTCCACCAGGTGGGAGACCTTCATAAAAGCCGGGCAGTTAGCCCCTGTAAATAAGTTCCTGCTTAACCCTCAAAGTGAAGTGTCATCTCATTATTGGGGGGAGGATTTACTGTATGCTGTTAGAGACTGATTGCCAGGAGTGTAAGCCGCTTGTGGGCTTTTCCTGTTCGTCTGCTAGCAGCTATTCGTGAGGTTCCAGTTCGGGAGTTTCGAGTATTCCCTTGGTTGCAGTTCGGGAGTTGGTAAATTTGTGGGTTTGCAGTTCGGGAGATTGGTGCTTGCAGTAGCTGTCTGTGCAGCTGAAAAGGGGGAATATCGCCTAAACGGTTTTTAACCTCTTGTGGGCAAAACGGTCCGTTACATTTACCTTCCAGGATCTGGCTGTGTTGCTGTGTTACTTACCTTCCCGGAGCTGGCTGTGTTACTGACCTTCCAGGACCCGGCTGTGTTACTTACCTTCCAGGGCCTGGCTGTGTTACTTACCTTCCAGGGCCCGGCTGTGTTACTTACCTTCCAGGGCCTGGCTGTGTTACTGACCTTCCAGGGCCCGGCTGTGTTACTGACCTTCCAGGACGCGGCTGTGTTACTGACCTTCCAGGGCCTGGCTGTGTTACTGACCTTCCAGGACCCGGCTGTGTTACTTACCTTCCAGGGCCTGGCTGTGTTACTTACCTTCCAGGGCCTGGCTGTGTTACTTACCTTCCAGGACGCGGCTGTGTTACTGACCTTCCAGGACGCGGCTGTGTTACTGACCTTCCAGGACCCGGCTGTGTTACTGACCTTCCAGGACCCGGCTGTGTTACTGACCTTCCAGGACCTGGCTGTGTTACTGACCTTCCAGGACCCGGCTGTGTTACTTACCTTCCAGGACCCGGCTGTGTTACTTACCTTCCAGGGCCTGGCTGTGTTACTTACCTTCCAGGGCCTGGCTGTGTTACTTACCTTCCAGGATCTGCCTGTGTTACCTTCCAGGGCCTGGCTGTGTTACTTACCTTCCAGGGCCTGGCTGTGTTAGTTACCTTCCAGGATCTGGCTGTGTTAGTTACCTTCCAGGGCCTGGCTGTGTTACTTACCTTCCAGGGCCTGGCTGTGTT